CCGCTCTCTCTCTCTCTCTCTCTCTCTCTCTCTCTCTCTCTCTCTCTCTCTCTTTCAAGCCCATCCTGACCAAATTTGTGTTGCCCAAACGATCTGGGTGTATGGCCCTCAGCTGAAGTACGGTCACATTAGAAGTCACTCCCTTCTTAGAGTAGCTGGCTCCCCCCTCCAGGAGATGACAGCTGCCAAAAGCTCCATCTCCTGGGGCGGGATTGTGCCTGAATTTGGTCTGGCCTGGGCTCGCACAGATGCTGTGTGCGCTTGTCACAACTGACGTGAGTTCACCCGTGCAGCTGCCTGCTCTATCTAGAAGACGCCGTTCACTTGTGATCATCACGGCCTCTGGCTGTCGTATTCTTTCTGCCCCCTTTGTAGGAGGCGGTGTGGCATGTATGTTCCACTTAGGGGTATGCATTCTAGAGTTTCTTACTCTCTGCACCTTGGACGGTTTTGGATTTGGTGCCAATCACCACCCCACCGCAAATAGAAGCTCCCATGACGAGAGTTGGGAGAGGCAAGAATTCATGGGTTTAAAGATGTCATTCAGAATCAGTTTAATACTTTGTCCCTAAGGCATCCATGGACGTGGGTTTCCAAATTTTTACATTCGTGCTCCCAAGAAGCTACAGAATGCAGTAACATTTTACATTTTAAAAGGAGTGAACAGTAGCCGGGCGTTGGTGGTTGTACACCTTTGATCCCAGCACTTGGAAAGCAGAGGCAGGCGGATCTCTGAGTTTGAGACCAGCCTGGTCTACAGAGTGAGTTCCAGGGCAGCCTCCAAAGCTACACAGAGAAACCGTCTTGAAAAACCAAAACAAAACTAAAAACAAAACAAAAAACACTCTTTGCTAGGTGGTGGTGCATGCCTTGGCTAGCCTGGAAAACAAAGCAACTTCTAGGACACCCAGGACTGGTACACAGACAAACCCTGTCTTGAAAAAGAAAAAGAGTAAAAGAATGAATAATAGCTGGGGGTGGCAGTAGCACTGGCCTTTAATCCCAGCACAGAGGCAGGCCCATCTCTGTGAGTTCAAGGCCAGCCTGGTCTACAGAGTGAGTTCCAGGACATCCATTCCAGGATACAGAAGAACCAAAATAAAGAAAAAGAAAAGAAGTAGTGAATAAGAAATTACACTCATGCCTAGAAAACATGAGTAGTGACTTTTGCTAAATCAGGATTCAAGCATTAACTTTGGGGAAAAAAATATCGTCTTTTACCCTAAGAGTTGGCTTGGAGCCTAATGGGATGGCTCATTTTTTTCCAAGGCATTCGGTAAAAGCCACTCTCAGCCATAAGATGTTGGGCTTGATTTGATGTGGCAGGTCCTGCCTTCTCGGAAGTAATGTATGCCTCTGGAGCTAATGTAAAACCTCGGCATGGGAATTACAGCAGCTACTCGTATCTCCATAAATATCACAATTAATCACTTAACGTGCAGTGTCCTCATGGTGGGGGTGGGGGGGGAGAGTCTGGGATGCCACATTGCTTTTTAAAGGTTACGTCTTCTTGCTCTCACATAAAAGAGATTGTATCATTTAAAAGTCTCTCAAGATTTATTTTTAGATCTGCAGCTCTGTTTAAGAGCCTTTCCGGAGGCAAAATGCTATTTCCTTTCTCCAAAAAGACGGAGAAGGGCTCGG